TTTTTATTGAGGCATTTTAACCCTACTTGCAATATTCTAAATAATGTTTCTAAACTCTGAACACTCTAAAGGAGCACTGCATGTCATGATCTCGGCTCTCTGCCTCCGGCTGCACTCTCAGCCACACCCACTTCTCCTGATCTCCGTGCAGATCAGAGATGATCTGCAGGAGGAAGCTTCTCCCACAGCTGTGGGCTGCACACAAGTGCTAAATCATTTAAAATAATATATATATATTTTTTTTAAATCCATGCCGATCATGCAGCTCTTCCATCAATCAGCCAGTTGTGTGTCTTGTCCAATCTTACTTTGAAAAACTTCAATAGAGCGAGTCCGCGAAAAACGAACCGCGAAGTAGCGAGGGACTACTGTATAGCGTTTTTTTTGTTTTGTTTTTATTTTTATTTTGCTTGAATAAACTTATAAAGCAGGTTTCTTGTTATCACTGTATTTAGTGTTTCTTTAGATCAGTGGTTCTCAAACGGGTCTGTGAGCCTGTGCTTGGGGGTTCTGCAAAAACAAATTTTTTTTTAATTATTTTGTATTTGTATAAGCATGTAGATGTTTAACAACCTGTTATACCAAAATTCAGGAAATCACATCTACTTTATTTTTTAAAAATTTGGGAGGGGAGCCCCAGAACCCCACCAGCTCACCTGCATTCCAGCATCGATCAGTTTACAAGTGAATCCTGTTACTTGGTCTGACTACTGCTATTATGATTCTGTTCAGTTTTATGTAAAAAGTTTTCTGTAATAATTTTGAAGAAGTGGCAACACATTTTATATTTATAAAGAGAATAGGTAAAATTTTAAAGTGTTTTTTTAAACTGTTAATTTTCTCAAAACTGCAATTTTTGGAAGTTGAAATAAAAAAAAAAGTTAATTAAGTGTATCTTGAATGAAAAATACCCCATGTTTAAAAGTATAAATTATGTATTAACTCTATTAAAGAACAGGTTTTGAAGAATTAATGTTACACAGATATTTCCATTGCATTAAAGAGACAAATTTAAGAAAATTATTTAATAAACACAAGGGTTATGAGGGGGTCCCTGAAATGTTTTCTCTCCTTTAAGGGGTTCCTGAACCCCAAAAAGTCTGAGAACCCCTGAGCTAGATGTTACACGATGTGCATGAGCAGAGCATGCCCTCCATAGGTATTTTCTTTCCTTTGTTCCTTTCATATTGTGACCAGCATGGACCAGCATGTTTTTATGTCCTGTTTTAATATAAACGTAATAAGTTCAAATATAAGGAGGAGCCAGTTTAGGTGGCTCGGGCATCTGGTTAGGATGCCTCCTGGACGCCTCCCTGGTGAGGTGTTCCGGACACATCCCACCGGGAGGAGACCCAGAGGAAGACCCAGGACACACTGAAGGGACTATGTTCCTCAGGTGGCCTGGGAACACCTCGGGATTCCCCCGGAGGAGCTGGACCAAGTGGCTGGGGAGAGGGAAGTCTGGGCCTCCCTACTTAAGCTGCTACCCTCGCGACCCGACCCCGGATAAGAAGAAGAAAATGGATGGATGGATTGATGAATAAGCAAAGAGTGAAATAAACATGTTTTGAGAAATGTGAGAAAGTATGTTGCTTGATCTTTTTCTATATGCAGATAAAGATCAAGTGTGTGTGTGTAAATGAAGTGAATAATTACAACTTGTTTTTTCCAGTTGTGTGTTTGCTTGAAACACCCATTCTTTTTATGTTTTTTGTGTTATTAATTACACTTGTCTTGCAGCATCAACTAACAAATCCACCTTCCTTCAATGCTTTTGTGTTTGCATGTTTGGCATATAAAGACTGCACCAGTGACCCTGCTCTGCCACCCCCTCACCAGCACACTTCCAACAACCCTCACCATGGAGAGGAGCAGTACTCACCTCCTGCCACTAGGCGGCAATGTTCTACCTCTCATACTGGTTCAGAGTTGATTGGGCCTCAGACTGGCTCCCCCAGGAGGGTAGCAGCAGGGGGCAACACAATTCCACTGTCAAATCAAGGATGTGTAGATTCCAGCAGGGAAATGAGAGCTGAAATGAGCCGGCCTGTAAGTGAAGAATCAGAGGACTCGGACACAGTGTTTAACAAACAGCTCTCTTTTTGGTGCCGAAGGTTGTATGAAAGACCCAACAGGACACCACCTCAGCAGCAAGCGCCTTCACAACAGCAGCATGAGAGAAATACCAGACGTTTTTCCTCTCGCAGGCGCTGCACAGATGAGTTCAACAGCTGGCAGGAGGAGACAGAGGACTTGGATGAGGAACGTTATGAAAATGATGATTTACAAAGCAGAACATCTAGGAGGCATGATCGGGAAAGAAACTACAGAGATGAGGGTGTGATGAGGAGTAGGGATCAGGATACAGAATGTAGGTCAACTGAGGTTGGAGAGAGGCCACGTCGTCGCAGTGAATCGGTTAGATCACATGACAGAAGCAGGCACAGAAACCGAGATCTGCCAAGGACCTGGAGTTGTAGAGACAGTTCCGACAAACATGTTCGTTTTAAGGATGATAACAAAGTTTGCAGGCAGCAGAGCGAAAGCAGCAAGGTTTGGGAGATGCTCGGCCATATACTCAAAGAGAGGGGAGTGCCTGTGAGGTTTGGTGGCAGCGGGGCGCCACTGCAGATAAAACCTCAAAGCAGAGACAGCCAGGTGCTTCAGGGTAGTGAGGTCTCATATCGCAACTCCCAACCACATCAGAGAGCCTTCCAGAGAGCTGCCACCGCCAGGCACAGTTTCCATGGAGATATCAGGGAGAGGAGGAGACCGTCACACCAAGAGAACAGTCGAAGAGATCACAGAGAGGACCAAGACAGGCTTAGTGACCACGAAGAGGTTCATGAAATTATCAAAAGAGACTCTAACATTGAAAACGGAGAAAGACAAGGCAGCAAGAAGTGGAAAGAGCACAAATACACAAACTGTGACGAGAACAGAGAGAGGGACAATCGTAACAGAGTCAGGAGGACGACGAGTGAACGCACGCATTGGCACAAGTTCACAGAAGAAAGGTTGAGCTCTGAGGAGGAGCAGGAGGAGGAGAGAAGAGTGGAGCGTCCTAGACGAAGGGCCCTCCAGCGTAGCCAAAGCTTCAGCAACAGAAGGGCTTCCACCAGGCATAGGTTGAGCCGCGAGGCAGCAGGTAACACCCAGACCTGCAGCCCACTTTCACCTGCAGAGGGGAAAGCTTCCAATGGTGTGCTCCTGTCCTCTCTTCATATTTGATCTCCACCTTTATTCGGTTTTTTCCACATGGTCAAATCTGGGCTTTAGCTGAATCTTTGGGTTCTGTCTGTGAGACATTTGTTTAGTTTTATTTCTATAGTTTTATTTCTACAGTCAATGCAGTTCTACATTGTTCATCCATTTTCCATCTTTTAGCCAGAATCTTTTAATTAATCACCTTTTTAATGCACCTCTTTTAAGATCTTGCAAAATGCCGCTAGCCTGTCACGATAACAAATTTTGCTGGGCGATGAATTCTCTCAGAAATTTTTGCGATAAACGATAAAACTGTTTGAAATTTATCAATAATTAGTAATTATTGTCAAATTTAAGAAGAAAAGTTGATACATTTTTGTGTCTAGTACCTTTTTTGACCACTGGATGGCAGTATAAGACTGTTTGAACTGAAAGATGGTGAGGGAGCAAGCAGCGCGTCTCTTTTTTAAGAAAAAGGGAGGGAGGCCCCTTGACGTGACATGGGCTGTCTCTCCGTCCTGTTTTTTTGTTCTCAAAATGGCGGACGCTCGGTGTGGTTTGAGCTCTTTAGCATAGCATTTGTCAAACAAAGCTTTTAATAAAAAAATCAGTCAACAAGTTCTCAGCTTCTTTTTGCAAAGAAAAACTTTACACGAAGGCACGGGTTTCAACCATGAATTTTTGGAGCTTTGACAAGACGGAGGTTTTTTCCTGAGGTCTGCCTGTTAGCTTAGCTCGTAGCTTAGCTTCTCAGCTTAGCTGCTTTCAACGATCCAAAAACACGTTTTGGATGATTAAAACAGATTTGAAAGAGAAAGGGAGGGGTCAGTGAAGAGCACCAGAGTTGAACTTTTTGTCATCCAGTGTCTTCAGTAGAAAGAGACATGAAGAAACGATAAAGCCAATAAATGAAAATGAGGTCGATAATTTTAATTTATCATGCGATTAATTGATTTATTGTTTATCGCGACAGGCCTACCTTACCCCCTGCATCCATTCATTTCTTGGTGTGATTTTAAATATGAGGTTTTTGACTCATTTTTAAGATTCATATCTGACCTTTTAATTTTGTTTTTCTTTTGCAAATCATATAATTTCAACTTTGTCATATTAATTGCTTAAGTTCTTTTGGAAATTCTACTGTCAAACTTCCTGCTTAGGGGCTTCACTGGAACCAGAGACAAGAGAGGCGAGCCTGTGTCTGGGGGAGTTACAACAGGTCTTACAAGATGAAGAACTGGCTCGGAAGCTTCAGAAGGAAGAGGAAAAGCTGCTAAGAAGGGTGATTCATCTAAAACTGGCAGAGGGTGGTTTATGAGGATAATGGTAGTACAAATATTTGTTTCATTTTTATTTTTATTTTCTTAGGTATCCCAATCATCTCCACGCAGTTCTTATCCAGAAGGGGACTTCAGAGTAGCACAAGTGGCACAAGATGAGGTGCAACAGTGACCTAACGTGGTGCCAGTACCCATGATTTTAGATTTAACATCAGTCTGAAAAGTTACACCATGTTTGTTTGCTTTTTCTTTTAAATTCTAGGAAATTGCACGCTTTATGCAGAAGCAGGAAATCAAGTCAAAGCGTAGATCTCATGAGCTCGAAGGGCCAGCGTCTTGGCAGGAGCACAGAGCAATGATGAGTCACCATGACAGACGGACAGCCAGAGAAAGACCGGTACAAATGTTGTCCACGAACAAATCCTATAGTTTATTCACTTTTTGTCTTGAAACTTAGGTTTTTGAGATGGTCTACTTAAAAAAAAAAAAAAAGGCATTTAGATTTTTGTTTTGCTGCTGTCAATGTCAGCTTTGTTTTGTTGGTTCGGTTTTATAAAAAAAATTTTTAAAAATCCCTTTTCGTAGGGTCAACGAGAGCGACTCGACTCAGAAGGCCTTCCGTCACCTACTGAAGACTGCTTCCCAGAGAACCAGCCATCCAGCCCCATCACCACCATACCGTAAGGAAGAAAAACGATGGCTGTCTGCTTTAACTTGCTTTTATATGCTGACTATAAAATGTAATCACTGCAGAAAAGCCCAACAGATGAGAAATGTTGCAGAAGATTTAGACCCAACCTTCCAGGCCAGGAGGCAGGACACGGAGAGCTTCCGAGAAGGACCAACAGGTTCTCTAAACAGGATAAATGACTCAAAATGAAACTGTCCAAACAAAAGCTGTTTGTTCAAGCTTTGTGTTGCCATTGTAGGTCCAGCCAGTGGGTCATGTCCCAAAGCCCAGTCTGGCCCACATGACTTCCTTGAGGAAGCCTCATTCATCCCTCCAACAAAGCGGCAAACGGACAAACCAGGAAGGAGTAAACCTAAGGAGAAGAAGGAGGGCTGCAAGCAACAATAATGTTCAACTCCCTGTTTTTGTTGGACTTTATACATATATTTTTATAAGACGTATTATCCGTTCAGCTCGAGTCCTCATTGTTTATTGCATCACTGTTGAAAACTGAAGGAAATACTCTGGCTAGCACTTTAGAGCAGTAAGACAAGGATGCATTTTAAATGGCTTGCTGAAAAATTATGACATTTTGGACTCATACTGCTAGGAATTCCAAAGAGAAATCTTTGGTTTGTTGAAGCGTTTTCTATATTTTTAGTGGTAATTTTAAATAGGACATAATTTGTGTGTGTGTGTTTTTTTTTTAAATATTATTTTCTTTTAGTATCATCAGCAGCTAAAATGTTTTCACGTCTCAAGTTATGCTAAGATGTAAATTCTGCTGCTGAAACACTAAATGCCATGCACCAAGATACTGGCTCAGTATTGTACCATGTGCATGTGCAGGTTTGCTCCCACCACTTTAAAATGTGCACATCAGGCTAACTGGTGGCTAAAAAGCCGTTAGGTATAAGTGCATTTCCATGGTTGGTGTCTCTGCGTCTGACCTGTGATGGACTGGTGACCCGCTTTAGTTGGACTGGATTTATAGTCACCCTTCAGACCGAACCAACCTTTAACTTTACTGAGAGAGTGAGAATTATCTGGACTCTTGTGCCACAGAAACTGGAGTGCAGCTGTTCCCTGACAAGCTTTCTCTTGGCTTGTCCATCAACTTTGTCTAAGAAGTCTGTCCTGTTTTCAGTTTACAGTTTTACAGAGACAATCAGATGACACTATTTAGCTGTTAAACACAAATGTACTTTGTTAAAGATATGTATATTTATCTACAAGTTGTTTTTTTGTAAAGCTTTATGTGATATTACTACATAGGTATATCAGATAAGATTAGAAATCTCTTGATCTTTTAAAGGTAAAATAAAAGATCCCAGCTCACAGGTCCACTACTAGCTGCTACAAGTTTAATTTACTACTATTACTTTTACATTTTTAGAAATATGACATCCAAAGACCAACCTTGAAGTCAGCCCAGTCAGTTTTATCATATAGGAATCTTATTTATACCAAACACTAATTTAAAAACTACAAGTAGCAAGAAAAAAGCTTTCATTTGCATGTTCCTGTTTCTCTTAATTAGATTTAATTACCAGTATGCATGTTCTGTTTCGGTCTTACTCTTTCTCTTTTGTCAAATCAATTATCCAAAAAGGAAGTTAACAGAAATGATTACTGCAGTTCAGTGGCCATTTTGGCCTCTTTTTGGGGATGCTCAAGTACCCCTACATTTTAACTCAGCACCCCTGAAAAATTAAGAAACCATTATTAGGATTTCATAGGAAACTCCATTCTCAACCCTTAGATTCACCTAAATATTGAATAAATTGGGAATAAATGATGATGCACTTAAACAAGGCAGAAAAATTAAGATTTTTTTTGTTGTTGTTGCATGAGTCGGATTCTTGGTACCACCTGTCAACCAAGTAGACTTGTAAGCAACTGACCAATTGGTGACCTCAGTTTGTCCTGAAGTGAATGCCCTGTACCTGCAGGAGCTCCACTCCCTTTTCCTATGACAACATTGTCAATTTTGCTTTATGGACACTTTGCAGTCAGAGGGATATTGTGAAAAATCATCCATTTTTAAATCTTCCGTTTTGTGCCATAATTGCAATATATGCTTAATGGTTAAATTAAAGGTTATTGCTTAAAGCCAGTTGTGCTTTGTTTTGTGTGTTTTATATATAGGCATATATAGCAATGTTGCAACTTCTGATTGCACAAGTGTAGTCTTTAATCAGTTAAGACTAAAATGATTCTGTACAAAGTGTTTATTAGGTTGTGTAATGTAAAGCAGAGTGCTACGTTTGTAGCATCTTAGGTAGCGCTAGCTTAGCGCTACATTGGTGCAGGCAGTTGTCCACCGGGGTTGTTAGGATGCGTGAGTGAAGCAGAGCGTACTTTATTCACACAAGGAGAGCTGTTGGTCAGGCTACTTCTTGTTGCTCTCTAAAATAGTTATTGAATCAAGTGTTTACTTATGAAGGTAATTAACAAACTGTTCAAGTACACCAGAATGCAGGAAATGGCATCTACTTTATTCAAAATTGTATGGGGGAGGACCCCCAGTGTGTCCCCCCACATTACAAATGCTTCTTACACTAATGGCCACTGCGTTGTTCAAGACATTGTAAGCACTGGGGGCTAAAAAGATTATAGAATTAAAGCATTATAGAATTAAAGGTAGATTATAGAATCATTCCTGCAATGGTGTTCTGTGTTTATATGCTGTTAAAAAGTTCTAAACAACAACAAACAAACAAAAAAAGGGAGCACTGGCCCTGCAGCCCACACATCAGACCAGCGCACCAGGAAATCTCCAGACCCTCCCGCAGCCATGCTGTACCTGATTTTAATTCGCTCGTGACAAATTCCTTAATTTCTCACCATTTCAGTCATGGCATCAACAGAGGGGGAAGAGATTGCTTGCCTTTTGGCAAAAACATAAAAACTAAAGAAAAGGCCAGATCAGGGACGAAGAAGGGGAATTATGCATTGATGTCGCATACAAAACAGTCCGTCGCTGGGCAGTTTATTGTGTGACACAGAGTACATGTACGCGGTCGTAAAAATTTAGCTTTGTGCGGACATGCCCTGCGGGTGTCCGCTTCTACGCTAATTCGGTAAGCGCAGACTGACGTACACCCAAGTATACTGGGGGCTTTAAGTGGTGGGAAAGAAACAGTGACTCTATTTTAAGAGACTGCTTTAAACACACGGACTGGCAAGTATTCCAGGAAGCTGCTGTCAAAGAGGGAGGGGCAATAGACTTGGACGAATACGCATCCTCAGTTCTGTGTTACATTTCTAGGGGTGCATTCACACCAGCACTGTTGTCCCAAACTCTCGCCAGTTTGCCTAGGAAGTCTGGTTTGTTTGGGGAAGTGTGAACGCGTCATCGAACTCCGTCATGGAACAAAAAGGCGAACTCTGGCCCGGGCTATAACCTAGGTCTCAGTCCGGTAGAAGAAAACTCGAGCGCGGTTCGAGTACAGTGTGAATGTAAGCAGACCGGGCACCGCTCCGCAAGCAAGAAGTGGAGTACAGTGCAGGGCAAACAAACACGCATCTTTCTTACCTCATATGAAGCCGTCAGCTTGCCTTGTGTGAAAAACAACATTCTTCATGGTCTCCTGCCTCATCTTCTGCTCATGCTGAGTCCATTGTTGAAAAATGACAAAATAGAACTCCTAAAACCACTAAAACTTGACGCCACTCCGTTTTTGTTTTTATTTCCAGAAGAAGAAGAAGAAGTGTCTTCTTCAGAGGTTTTTGTGTTGTTTCTTTCAGTAGTTCTTGGTGCAGCGCCACCACAGGCGAGTGGGGGAACAGATTGGTTTGAAGAGATTGGCTCAACTGCACAGTGCAGTGTGAATGCAAATGCAACAGCTCAAATGTAAACAAAATGCTACGAATATTGGTCCTCAACCGAACCGAGTCTACTGGACTATCAGGTGTGAAAACAACCTAAGTGTACTGGTGATGTCACCACCTTCAGGAATGTGAAAAGCTACCCGAACCAAAAGCCCTGGCTGAATGCAGAAATACGCACCCCGCTGAGATCCAGGGACACTGCCTTCAAGTCTGGAAACTCACAGGAGCTGAGGATGACAAGGTTAGAGCTGGATGCTGGTATTAAAAGGGCCAAAGCAGCGTATGCACAGAAGATCCAGGGACACTTCTCCTCACAAAACACAGAACATGTGGAAGGGCATTAAGTGCATAACAGATTATAAAGGAAGAGGTGCACAATGTCCTAGCGATCCATCACTGCCTGATGCTCTCAGCAGATTCTATGCACGTTTTGAGGACCCGAACAGACCACACAGCACCAGACTCACCTTATCACAAGAAGAAGAGTTCCTCAGCGTGACCTCAGCTGAAGTAAGGAGTACTTTCAGGAGGATCAATCCTCACAAGGCAACTGGCATGGACAACATCCGAGGGAAAGTGCTGAAAGACTGTGCCGATCTGCTCTGCGAGGTGCTGGCCGACATATTTAACTCTTCCCTCACCCTGGCAACAGTTCCCACCTGCCTCAATACGGCCACCATTATCCCATTTCCAAAGAGCTCTACAGTGACTGGCCTGAATGACTATCGGCCGGTAGCCCTCACCCCGATGGTCGCTAAATGCTTTGTAAAACTGGTCATGACCCACATCAAAGCTAACATCAACAAGGACCGTCACCAGTATGTATACTGCGAGAATCGATCAACAGAAGATGCCATCTCCTCTATGGTCCACACTTCTCTCACCCACTTGGAACAGAAGGACTCCTACGTCCGTATGCTCTTTGTGGACTTCACATCTGCCTTTAACACCATGATTCCCCAGACCCTGATGGACAAACTAACCACACTAGGACTAAGTTCTTCTCTATGCAATTGGGTCCTAGACTTCTTAACCATCAGACTACAATCTGTGAAGATCCACGACTTCTCTTCCACCATAACCCTCAGCACGGTCTCTCCCCAGGGCTGTGTGTTGAGCCCCCTCCTGTTCACTCTGCTAACGTATGACTGTGTACCGACCCATCCAGGCTGTTGTATTGTAGAGTTTGCAGACGATACAGCGGTAGTTGGATGCATCAGAAACAATGATGAGTCTAGCTACAAGCAGGAGGTGGAACACCTTGAGAGCTGGTGCAAGAAGAACAACCTTCACATCATTGTGAATAAGACAAAGGAGATGGTCGTGGATTTCAGAAGGAATAACCCCCCACCCCTAACATAGGAGGATCTGTGGTGGAAGTGGCCAGCGGCCAATCCACAGTTATAAACAGGAAGTACCACATGTTCATCTGTACGAAGGTAACTGCTGGTAAATCCTCCATAATTTGTCATTATTACGGTTGAATTTAAGGTAAATGCTTAAACCTAGTTATGCTTTGTTTTGTGTGTTTTATATGTAGATGTTGTAACTTCTGGTTGCATAAGTTTAGTCTT